CAAAAAATGGCAAGTGGTACCCCTTTCCATTTTTTTTGGCCAAAAAATAAAAGTTCTCCGATTTTCAAGTTTGACCACTCATTCTCTTCGTCTTGATGTGTAGAAATGCGGAATCGGGGCACCGCTCGGAAAAACTCACTTTAACACCCTCAAACAGGGGGTAAAACTGGATACACACTGAAAACCATCATCCCCTTGACTTTAAACCCTTATAACTCATGAACGGACGGTCCAATAACCGTTTTTGAGGACGTTTTGAAAACCTGAAAATCTGAGCTATCTGACAATATCCATAGATTTATTTAAAAAAATTTCTTTCACCCTTAAAATCGCTAAAACATTAAAAAAAATCACATTTTTTTGGGAGTTTGCCAACTATTTTGGCCATTTTAAGGGTAAAATAAATTTTTTATACAATTCACATGGATGTGTATCTTTAGCTTAGATTCTGAAGTTTCTAAAAACCTCCTAAAAATCATTATTACATGAATTTTATGAGAGTTATAGAGGTCCAAAGTTCGGAAATAGATGATTTTTTGACCTTCATTCGACTTTGGACCTCTATAACTCTCATAAAATTCATGTAATAATGATTTTTAGGAGGTTTTTAGAAACTTCAGAATCTAAGCTAAAGATACACATCCATGTGAATTGTATAAAAAATTTATTTTACCCTTAAAATGGCCAAAATAGTTGGCAAACTCCCAAAAAAATGTGATTTTTTTTAATGTTTTAGCGATTTTAAGGGTGAAAGAAATTTTTTTAAATAAATCTATGGATATTGTCAGATAGCTCAGATTTTCAGGTTTTCAAAACGTCCTCAAAAACGGTTATTGGACCGTCCGTTCATGAGTTATAAGGGTTTAAAGTCAAGGGGATGATGGTTTTCAGTGTGTATCCAGTTTTACCCCCTGTTTGAGGGTGTTAAAGTGAGTTTTTCCGAGCGGTGCCCCGATTCCGCATTTCTACACATCAAGACGAAGAGAATGAGTGGTCAAACTTGAAAATCGGAGAACTTTTATTTTTTGGCCAAAAAAAATGGAAAGGGGTACCACTTGCCATTTTTTGGGGGTGAAAAATCAAAGTTCTCCGATTTCCAAGTTTGACCACTCATTCTTTTTGTCTTGAAGCGTAGAAATGCGGAATCAGGTCAAACATATAAAAAATTAATTCTTTTACTCCTAAAATGGGGTAAAACCGGAACTTGCTTCAATTTTTGCATGAATTATGCTACCATTATGATTTTAACTATATCGACTTTTTTCCTCTCGTCGAGATCTTCCAAATGAGCCCTCGATCAACCCCCTAGCATTATTAGCATGGAAGTTATGGGACCATTCAGAATGAAAAGAAAAATCATACAGGCTATTCTTTTTTAATTCATTACAATTAAATTAAATATTTTTCAATCATCAAAAACAATTGACAAGATATTTATCAATATTTCCTGGTCATTTATTTTTATTAGACTCCACTTTTATTGTCATATTAATTCTAATTTAATTATTTTCTCAAACAAAAATTTACAGATAATCTATTCTTTTAATGAATTCGATAAATTTTATATCCAAACTTCATGACAGTTCTAGAAGTAGTATGAAAAATGTGAAAAGAATAAAACTTTAAAGATAGTAAGTGAATAAAATAATGTTGATTGACGGTCTCAGAACGATTCAGCAAACTTTGGTAAATCAAATTTTGAAGTTTGACAACCCTCCTATAGAGATTTCTGTCACTTTGTTACCACCACCATCCTCTGTTTAATTTCCAATGAAAAACCTGTGATAGATAGAAGAATACATTCTTCTTCCAAGTTTGTGTTAAGATTGAATTCCCTCATCTCTAGTAAATTTTCCATTTCTCGTTCCTTCTCTAATATAATACCATGGCACTTTCGCCTACGTCGTGTCACTTCCTTTCTGCAGACGCTAAAACGAATGGCACTTATGGGATTCTTCATGGAACAAAAATGCATAACACTTGTTTCAGAAATACTTAAGAATGCCTTTTGTAAGGAATGATAAATTGTTTCGAGTGATGTGGATATATAACAAAATGGCATTCGTATGCACAAGTGTCACATGCTCTTTTAAAAGGAATTTTTTTCTTTAATGGAAAAATACATGTGATGATGAAAAATCTTTTTAAAGAATTATTATAATGCTTACGATGTTTTGCACAATTGTTTTTATCATGAAAAGATTTCTGATTATTTTTAAAAATTATCAGAGCTGAAAATTTAGCATATGATAAAGTTGGATAAAAAGATGAGCTTTATTATTTATAGTAAAAATTTCAAAAGTGTCTTTAGATTATTATAATTCACAGGAAACATTTTAAATTCATTTTAATTACCTGCAGGCTTTACAAAGATATCACTTGCCTTTATCTCCATCATGATAAAAAATGTGTGCTATACATCGTAGACAGAAACATGAGGTAATTATATGCCTTCACAATCACAGGTTCTACTTTCTTTCAAAGTAAACTTTTTACTAAGTTGTACAAAGCCCAACAGTACAACAGAAAGGGTATGTCTTAATTCTTAAACATTGCAATATAAGCTCTACAGCTATAGAAAGTGTTGAAAGAATATTTCCCTGGAGAAAAATATTTTAATCATCTTACATAAGCAATGTAAATACTTTTCTTTCATAAATGCAAAATATTTCTTTTCAAATAATCATTTAATATTGATTTCAAAATAATTATTAGCTTCATTCAAGTATGAGGTAAAATTTATGGTAGTAAACTTTAAAATCAGTCATTTTATTTTATTATAAAAAAAATTTAATTGTATTTTTATGAATCATAATAATTCATTTTTGTTTAAAGATACAGTTACTATCACTATTTTATTACTCTAATGTAGCTTATAAAAAAGAGTAATTATTAATTTGAAGTACTTTTATTAATAGTTTTTATTTGATTTACAGGAATCGTATTTTATGTATCATAACGATGAAATAAAATTGTTAATAAAAGTTGTGATATATTTTTTATGAATTATTTGTTAATGCTACGTCATATTTTTTTATTTATTCTTTTACTCATATTTTAAAACTTCAAAACTTTTATTTTTTTATTCATATTTAAATGCTCACTTTTAGAATACTAGAACTTTTTCCTATCAAATAATTGAAAAGTTTTTTTACGATGAAATGGAAATAAATTAGTGTAAAATTTTTCTGGAAAAATTTTCAGTATTGAATGAATTTAATTTTACATTGAATTTCAAATATCCAAAAAAATATCTCAGCTGTCAGTTTTGTTTGATTTTATAATAACTTTATCAATCATTCAATTAATAGAAAAAACCAAAAATTTCTCATAAAATCAATCAATTTTTAAACTGAGAATATTATTGCAATAATAAATTCAATATCTTGCTAATAATAAAATAGTAATCTGTTGACTAAAAATCTGAACCTACATTGAACACTTTTTCCAGTTTTTTCTATCTACGATATTTTTTCCAGAATAATTGAAAACTGTTATTACTATTTGCAGCCTCCGGTTCGGGTTCGATAATCGGTCGAGATCCTCTTCCACCTCGAGCAGTAAGCACGTCTCAGTTAGCAGCTCAAAATCCGCTCACTCAGCCACCAGTCACCGTTTCAACTCTTCCACACTCACGTGTCAATGGACGTGAACGTCAGCAAATCACTAGTGGACTTCCGGTCCATCAGTCGACACCACAGTCCACCGCCTCAAGGCTTACAGTTTCTGGAAATGAGAGCAATTCATCTATTTGTCGAGCTGCTAGCATTGGTGATGTTCGAACACCATCAACTCTGTAAGTATATTAATTTATTGATTGAAAAATATTACAATTATGAAGTAATACTTTCCTAGACTTTATTTCATTTGTAATCAAAAATATTATTCATTTTATTTCAGAGTAAATAACAGTACCAGTGATAGTAATCAACGTTTGATCAGCCCATCAAGAAACTTGCGGGTGATTTCTCCAGTAGATCATCGGCTTTCTAGTCCCAGTGATTGTGAGAAACATATACCAAGCCAGAGTAAGCATTTCCACGTAACTGTGGAATGGAAATTTTTCAAAGTCCCATCCATTTTCCTCAGCTTCTTAACCAATGTCTTCAACTATTCATCTCTCTATTGTCATAACTACTCTCTTCCGGCTTTCTCAAGAACTCTTAACTACATTCTATTTTACTGTGCTTAAATGGGGAGAAAAAATTTAATGGATGTTGAAAGCTTCTCAAATAACTTGACGTTTGTATATTATTAAAATAAAATTGGTCTGATAAAATTCACAGTTAAAGAATTACATGTTTGATTTTTTTTTCTTTCGTAAAAATTGTCATTTTATTAATAAACCATGAATTGAAGCTGACAATTAATCAATATTGTAAGTTTATATTCACAGAAGTGAACAATTACCAAAAAGTTAATTCAATATTCATCAATAATGAGAAGAATACAATGCCAATAGACCAGAAATAAAATACTCCATCACTATTATGAAATAAAAAAAAAATTCTGATGAATTTTAATCATCTATATGATGCATACTAATCACCAATAAAATAACTATCGAGTTATTTTTATTTTTTAAGTATATTCTTAGCAATAAAAGCTCGATTGCTTTTAAAAGATTAATACGTAAATATATGGTTATAGTCCATATCAAGTATTAACATATTTTTTCTATTTCATATACTAAAACACTCAACTTAGATTAAACTTTATTATTTATTATTAATAGATATTTCTTCTTGGCTTCCACGAACGATCGAAACTAAGAGCACATTTATAAAATATTCAGAGACAAAGAAAAACTTAATCACAATGAAATACAAATGTATTATGTACTGTCATACAATAAAACAGTGAAACTCGAAGTAAAACTCAAATGAAACATTATCAGAAAAATAGATTTGATGTTATTTTGAATTGCCAGTAAATGACAATTGACCTGAAAACTATACGAGAGAGTTATGAAAATTGATTTAACGTGATTCTCTGTACTTCTCAAGGTAATTTTACATCCAGTTTACATATTGTACATGAATTTCTAAAGCCCTGAGGTTTCTATTCATTTCTAGGCGTTGAATTTGAATTGAATTCAATTTAATCAAACATAAAGACTTAACTTGGGAGGAATATATTCAATCAAATTAAAGTTACTTCCCTTGTGTATTTCAATCCTTCTTTAGTTTTACATGATTGATATTATCATTAGCATGATGTGTGATAATTCGTTGCTTCTCAATCACGTTCTCACTAAGCTATGTAAGCCCAGATTCCGTATTTTGTACTGTTGAACACAAGCGTCGATGTGTAAAGCAGCAGTAGTTGGATCGTCAGACCTAGAATAGAGATTAATGTCGACATGAACAAGAAAAGCCTTTAGAAGCTCGAGTCTAGAATAAACGACTCGACAAACTAGATCCCCAAAGTTGGAAGATACCAATATAAATTTTCCATGTCATACTCTTCATCACACTAGTAATTATTCCATCATTTTTATGCATATACATGCTTTGACCTTCTTGATCCATTTGCTTTGATAATATTCGTTTTAATGCTACCCACAAGTGTTGTTAAAAATATTAGAGTGTACAACAAACATACAACGAGAAGAAATATTGTTATTATGGCTGAAAAAAAAAACTTTTTAAGTGAATTGTATGAGTTAAAAATTGAAATAACCGAGTTCTTTTGTTATGTAAAACCTCCTCCTGCTAAAAGGAATTTATTAAGAAATATTCTTTTTTATTATGGATAACGAAACCATTGCTTTATTGTTGGAATAAAAATAATGAAGTGATATTTTAGAAGTATTTTTTTTTAACTTTTTTAAAAAAAAATTTCGTTAAAAAAATACATTTAATTTTTAATTACTTAAACTTTATACTTTTTCAGCTCAAACTTATTTCCATTCTCAGGGATGCAATAGACATTTTCTCATGGAAAAGAAAATAATTTGAACTTTGTAAATACTTTTAACATTGATATGGACTAAATGAATTCTTCAATTAACATTTAATCATTTTATGTTGTAATAAACTTAAAACTTTTAATTAGGAATGAAACTCATATATATAAAAATAGATTAAAACTTTTTCCTTCCAACTTTACCTTCATCTTCATCAATAATTCCTTATTTTTTTCTTCAAACTAATTACAGTTCCATTTTTTTTTTTAAGTTTATACACGGTGGATTATTATCTGAGGCACAAAGTTACTTTGAATCATTTTTATATTCTGAATCCATAAGCATAGATATCACAAGATGGTTGAATATTTGAATAATTCATCGTTTGTCGTAGAACATCTCGCGATGTTGTAGACATCAAAAACATGCAAAGCTCTCAAATACAACTGCATCGTTTCATTTCCAGCTGCTTTATCCTTGTGAAATTCACTTTCATCGAATTTCGCTCACAAAACAGAGGGTGCGCGACGAACCATAGACCATTGACGCTTTTGGGATTTCCTATGTACTATAATCATACATTATCCGATCCTACATACATGCACTAAAATTACGAGTATTACAAACTATTAATTAATCCGCATTACCTTAGAATCCTTATTGCTAGTATAATAATAATTATTATGATTATTTACTCTATAGTTATTTCATATATTTAATTGTATATGTAAATTAGAAATTAATAAAATATGATGATTTTCAGATGAGAGGAAATTAATGAGTCCAATCAGTCCGAGAGAAATGAATGGTGATAGTGCAAGTGTCCAACACATGCAGAGAATTGTGCAGGGTTGTGAGAGCACTAACGATCTGCACAAGAGGGTAAGTGCTGTGTAAACAGATGTAAAAGAAAAAGAAGAAGAAGAAGAAGTTTTATGATTTTTTTATCCGGTGAAATTTAAAATAAACAATCGACTTGAAGTCAAAGTGAAGAAACAAGTGATAAAATGAAGTAAATATACAGAAGATTATCAATATTTTCTACACTAAAAATAGTTCATGGAGTTGTTTTTAATACTGAAAATTTGCATTCATTTAAAAATAAGTTAATAAACTAATTAAAAATGAAGTAGTAAAAAATATATCTCGGTAATTTGTCGAATAAAAAATTAATATTGCAGAAATGATTATTAAAAATAAATAGAGGATAAAAAAATTTAAGAAAACATAAATATAAAAAATCATATAAGAGTGAATGTAGCAAAAAAAACTTGAGATGGAGATTTTCTTTTTATAAATGGAAACATTTATAATTTAAAAAATAAATATTCTAAATTACTTGGAATAAAATTAAACAAAATTATGATAAAATAAATATTCCAACTAGAATTAAAGCATTTTAAAATAACCAAGAAAAGAGAATTTTTGTTACGAATGATGAAAACTCTGAGTAATTTGTCAAAAATTACTAGAATTATTTGTAAGGTCATTGACCGTAGTTAACAGGAAAGATGTTAGTATTTAATTATCCAGTCTTTTAATGAACTCTTTTTTTTTTTTAACCAAGAAGAATGGTTTTACAGTAGCATATTTTTGGAGAAATATATTAAATATCATCAGCATAGTCGTTATAATACTTTTGATTATTTTAATGGTGGCACCAAGGTGTTATTCACTCTTAAGACAGTAAATTAATGTCTCAGTAGAGAAGTGATTAACGTAATTAGAACTTTTCCGCAAGTTGTTTTACACTTAGGTCGTATACAAGTATCTTATACACAGAAGTCTAGTATTTTAATATATTCAAGATAATCTCGATTGTTATAAATTAAACTAATTACATAATTTGTCTCTGTTTAATTAAAATAGATGTAAGTGAGTTAGATACAATTTTTATAAGTCAATTTTATAAGTGATCATCGTTAGATTGAGACAAACGATTTTGCTGCAAAAGATTGAGGAACCAGTTTCCGCAACCAAGTTACTCAGATCTTAGATGAAACGGGTTTGATAAATCCGGCGGGCTTTATCCGGACAAAGCCCCGCAATTGTTCGTAAGGCGGTTGTGCGAGAGTACGGGATGCCAGATATCCGCGTTGAGATGAACAAGAGTAGGATAAAGAGGAAAGAGGTAGAGAGGTTTCTCGGCCAATTGGCAAGCAGCCTTGATCCTGGCTGGCCAAAGGGCTCCGACCCTGAGACTGGTTTTACCATCTCAGTGCCGTAAATTCAATTCACATTATTTTAACCTGAAAATAAAATAATCTTTTCAATCAATGGGATTTGAAATACTCGAAAAATTCAATCAATAAAATGAAAAAACACTTCGTTTCCTACATTTTCATATTCCCTCATAGGTCTATTGCTATTCAAGTAATTTTCAATATTTTTGAAAGCCTTTCGGAACTTTCAAAATTCATTCGTGTTTGATTAATAGGGAATATTGGCTAAAAAAAGACGAGTATTAAAACTCTACTCTATTTTCACAAGATCCTCTATTAATTTTGAATAAATAATTTTGAATGATTGGATTAATAAAACCTTTGGAAACCAACTAGTCAATTGTGATGGAATAAAACAAAAAATATTCTAATAGAAAATTATAAAATAAAAGTATTCTTCCTTTTATTACATGATTTTATAATTATTTTTGCTTCAAGAATTTATATAAGAACAATGACATTTCTATACTTGAAGAAGGTTTTTACGGTTTTTCTTGTCAGTAATGTATATGTGAAAAAAGTTGAGGAAAAAAAATAGTTGTATGAAAATTTTCTCCACATTTGACTACGTTACTGAATACTGAGAGAAAAACAGACAAAACAATGGAGCAGAGGAAGAAGCAAGAGGAAAGTTACAAACGAAGAAGAGAGAGAGAAAGTTTGCCGAAGCATGGAAGGAGCTTAAAGAACGCATTGCAGAAGAATCTTCAAAAGCAAGCAAGACGCCAGTCTCACGTTAGTCTTTATAGAGCAGACTTCAATTGTGATATGTATCTGATAAATTCATTGAATATTTGTAATTTCAAATATTATTCAGTAAAGTGTATAAGTATAGATGAAAGAGAGAAATGTTGTTCAATCTCTTCTACATAATTCTATTTTAACATCTAAATATTTCACTTGAAAGCAACTCTCAACATTTTACAAGTAATGCTCTAATCTTCTCTTTCGAGTCGGAGTTTATCAAAACTCGATGCTGTGTGCAAAACATCAAGATAGACAAAACTTGAGGAAGTAAATGAGGAAGGTGTATTATGTCATATCTCAAGAATTCTTGATAAAGTTTGAACTACTATACCTTGCTAGGAAATTTCTGGGATTAGTAAAAGCCTGCACTAAAAGATGTTGAATTTATCCAGGTGACATTTCTTCTTGCCTTAAAATAATTTGAAGATAAACTAAAGTGGATTGTAAATGTATAATATCATTGAAAAAATATACCAAGATCTCCAAGTGAATTTAAAAATACTTCATATCAAAAAAATCAGCTATTGTTTTTTTTGGTAAGAGTTAGGTAATTCAAAGATGAAAAAAAAATGATTTGAAAATCAATTCAAAAAAATTTGTGAGCTTCGAATTATTAAAATTATGTGTGTGTGTGTGTTTCATAGTCATTGGATTAAATAATGTAATGCAATAAAAAATTCTGGTTTGTATGATATAAATGGCGTGGATATTCAATAGATCTATTCAAAGCTACATCAGTTCATCAGTTTGATTATGTTCGTGTACAATTTGATAATTTATAAAGATTAATTCTTTAACAGAGAGTCAAAAAATTCCATCAGTTCAATATATAAACATAAAAATAGTCGAGTAATCAATTAAATAGAACATAATACTAAAAAATATCCTCTAATAAAATTTATATTGATAATAAATATTTGAAGAATCACTAAATGTAGTATTGGGATCAATGACTTCAAGATTTACTTTCAAACACTTCAAGTCGATTGAAAATATTATTTATCTCGTCTTCTTCTTTTCGTGCAAGTAGAAACGATATTATCTAAATTAACATAACTTGTGTTATAACAATAACCTTGCATGGAACCTAATCGTATGCACCTATTACGTTTTCGTTGTCACCATTTTTGTGTTTTTATAATTATATCGCGCACATGTGTTGCATGCCATCCTTCTACGACAGACGAGTACGATTTCCAAGCAGAAAACAGTAACGAATGAACTGGGATCACGAGTTGGATCGTCTGGGAGCACCCAACGTCTGGTACAAGTGTCGGCTGGAGAATTGTTGGGAAGGACCCATGAAGAGCTGGTACTCCTACTCATCCAGTTAAGACGACAAAGTGCAGCTATCTGCAAGGCCATGGAAACGTGCCATATGGAGATTGAGGCACAGGTCTTGATTTTAGAGTCATAATTATTTATTTTTTTTTTCAACCTTTTATCACTTTTTTTTCAAATACAGGGACTGCTATTCTGGTGGAATCTTCATTGAAGCTGGCTTGACACTGGGACGCTAATTTTAAAATATTTCATTCATTTTGTTTCGGTGCTTTTTATATTTATTCACAAATTAAGCATTTTCTGTTTGATCAACTGCTTCAGTAACACTTTTTTTAACAAGTTTATCATAGATTTATTAAAGAGAAGTCGAACATTCTATAAGAAAAGATTTTTGTAATTTGCTGGTTGTTTTTGTGTTATACTATCTTAAGAAAGAAGTTTACATTGCTAAATGATTCCAGTTGGTGGAGTTGGATGATAAAGTTTCCTACACTCAAATAACAATAAAAAAAAAATCGTGATGTATATTCTAAGAAAGTTGACGAGTTTCTTATAGTGGAAATGAGAACGATAAGGCTTCGAAGCCTGAAAAGTTTTTATAATGAAGAATTTTATAAAGTTTGCATTGACCGAATGGCCTCAATTTAATACTGCAATTGTACAAGTTTTCTAACACTGAGTTATTGAATCAGATAAATAGTATTTATCACTTATATTTTCATGAATAAAAACAAAAATTTATCTGATATTTTTTTCTTAACTTTCTTAATTATATTAAGAATAAAAGATGTTACCTTGACTCAAGTATACGATGGCAGATCATTCTCAAGACCCGTTTAGCTTTCTATCAAGACCTAGAGAATGCTTAGATATCCTTTCAAACACATCGAGATTCTATCCAGACGTTAGTCGGGTGTGACGCTGTGCGTATCGACTTCTCTTACTCTCTGAAACACACATATATGTATTTTTAAAAGTTTTTACACCCTATTTTCACATCCTTTTGTTTACGAGAGGCGGATTTTTTTTTATCAAAACTGACGCCTCAACAAAAATGCATGAGTGCTTCCTGGCCTGGTTTTCTATTCTGTAAATGTCTGTAGGAATAAAAATGTATGAATAGAAAATAGGATGATGAATTGATGATAATTTAAACTGTTATTCCACAGGCAAGACTAGCAGAATTGGATGCTCCACGTCGTCTAGAGAACCTTCAGAAGTTGGAAGAACTGAAAAAACATTTAATGAATTTAGAAAAACAGGTAATTATTTTAATAATATAATTACATTTAATAAAGTTATATGAGCTATTATCTTCATAATAAAAGTAATCCAACAGAAGAAGATTAACGAGTAAAGTTAACTGTATAAAATAAAATGAAAATTAGAAAGGAAAAACGTATTAAACTAAATCGATTTTTTGAGAATTTAAAATATATAAAATTAATTAATTAACATAAGATTTTTAATAAAAACTGGTTATAAAATGGAATAATTTTATGATTGCAGTATGAGAAAGGAAAGCCACTGGTAAATCTAGTTGACAATATGGTAAAGTTGGGATCACTTTATAATCGTAATGGAGTCAACGGGAGTGTCTCTGGATCTCGTCATGATTTGCTTCAAGAGAGTATGAGAGAGCAGAGAGACCGTCTTGAATTTAATCAGAGAGTTCAAGAGCAAAGGCTACTAGCAGAAGAAAGACGAGATTGGGAAAGACTTAGTCCTGATCACGGACAGCTTCAGGTATTAATAAATCACTAAAATACTAAATAATTAATTAATCCGTTAGTCAATTCATATATAAATGACCTCAGAGTCTTTAAAGAGAATTTCTGTAACGATCTTCAGTGGTAATGGGTATATTAAAGCTGAGCTTACCTATGTTGTATAACTATTATCTCGCTTTTCCACACGATAAGATCTCACAGCTGCTGCAGAGGAACAAACACTCAATTGTTCCTTGCTAATTATTGCCTCATCTCTGCATCCCTGTCCTGTACACCATTCGGAGTTCTCCGATAGTTAACGGAATATATTAAGCACTGTTGTGAACAGAAGAGACACCAGATATGCGGCAAACATAGACAGTGTTGTCACCAAGTCTTGCTAACTAGAACTGCAGTTATAATGTGATCCCTTATGCTTGTGGTTGTTTTAGAGTTACATTAAATAAAGATAATGAGATGATTTTTATTTCTATTTTATTTTTTTTTCTGCCCATAGGCCAAAGTACAGCAACTCTATAAACTTGACCGACTACTACAGGAAGAGTCTGGTACTCTTCATAGCCTTCAACAAGATAAGGTAATTTGATATTTTATATTTATAGATGCAAAATAATCTATTGATTCATTTACGAGTGATCAACTAAAAAAATTATTTATTTATATGTTATCCAGGAGATACTGGAAAAGGCTTTAAGTGGTTTACGACATAAACTTCAAGGCAGCAGAAGCAATCCCATGGAAACTGAGAGGTATAGGAAACAACAAATGTTGTTAGAAAGAGAGCTCAGCAGAATTCGAATGCTTCTTGCTCATAACTCCAAGGTAAATTTATGAATTATTTTTTACTTTTTATATCCATTCTGAAAATGTCCATTTTTTTTTATAAAGGAAGTTAATTTTTAAAAAAAGTTACAAAACATCGGCTTCAATAATTTCAATAATAAAGTTATTATGAGTTGTTTTAAAGGGTTTTCTTTCAAAGTCAAAAAATATTTTTTCATATAGTTGAAGTGTGTAAAATATACGATATAATATAAATCAAATTCACGCGATGTAGTCAACGTAGGACGTAGATCATTCGTGGATTGAGAGGAAGACTCGGATAAAAGTAGATAAACTATAGAAACTTCCTCTTAACCGTGAATTAAATCTATCCTTCGTTGTTTCCAGGTAAAACCAGTTTTCTTCCAGGTAAATTCAAGTATTAATGCAGAAGATATTATAATTATTTTCTAGATTTTTATTTTTCTTAGTCTTCAATTAATGTAATTGATATAAAAATAATCAGTTCATTTCTAAGTTATCTTCTTTGATACTTTGTAGAAATTGGAAGAGACAGTCGCTGAAAATGCAAGACTTGAGCAGGATTTGGTAGTTTTAAGACAGAAACTTCAAGCATCACGAACTTACGCTGGAAACATGACGCGAGATCCATCCGGAACAACTGCAGCTCTCGAAACTGAGTTAAGACGTGTTCAACAGTTAGTCGGCGATCTTCAACGACAGCGGCAAGAGTTGAGCATTCAAGTTCGACAATTGACCGAGAAGTCTCAAAGTTTAGTTCAGCAAATCAAACCGAATGATTCCTCAACCTGTGAGTACAATTATTTAAGTGCCAATAATCAAGGTAGAGAGATATAATAATCTTTAATGATTTTTTTTTAACAGTAACTGGTCCTCAACTTCATAATCCAAAGAAAAGAGCTCCAAGTTCTTGGCTTGAGACCGATTTGGATTCCGGAATGACGTTTGATCATGGCTTAGACTCTCCATCAAGCTCTAGTTCGTCCATGTCACCACGTAATCGTCAGGCCGGAAGTCCTCATCAGCACATTCCCTCACCGCAGGACAAAGAACCACCGACACATCGTTTCTCTCCGACTCAATCCAACCGACAGATGCAATCAAATCATCAACCAATTTATGTTCAATCCTATCCTCGCTTAGGAGACTCAATGCTCTCACACAATCACATCTCCACATTATCACCTCAGCTCAGAGAGCAAATCCATCAACATCAATTGAAGCAGCAACTTCTCAAAGACCAAATGCAAGGGAAAGCGAGTCCAGTTCAAGCAAACGTTGCACCGCTTTATGTCACTACTGATATGAGAAGAATTAACTGCAATGATGGATATAAACGAATTGATCCTTCGACAAATGGCATGCCTCTACCTCCACCTGAATACATTCCTCCTCCACCGCCTCCTCCAAGTGAAGAGGCTGTTCTAATGAATGGAGTGTACGGACAAAACGAGGATAATAAATTTCCTGGATTACACAATCGTGAGAAACAGGAGATTAAAACAGTAAGGATTGTCAAGAGAGAGTCTGAAAGACGTCATAGAGACCGTGGGGATAGAAACGGAAATATTGGAATCCCATTGACAAATGGACTCCAAGCACCAGGTGGAGCTAAGAGATTAAACGAAGAAGAGTTTGGTTCCCAACAATTTGAGGTAGTTATTAAACTTAATCCGTTCAACTCAAATAACTTTATTTGTCACAAAAAGTATATTTTTCAACATGACATTTATTTGACTGTTGAAATGTTTATTTTATAAATTGATATTGATCGAGACTCTGGGTTTATTGGAAAAATGGTTGAAATGAAATAGATATCCATTACTATTTATTTTAGTAAATGAATGATTTATAAATGGTTTGGATATCATTAATGGTTATTAAGAAAATTAATTAAATATTCAAACGTTTAAATAATTTTTCAGAATTATATCATCTCATATAGTATATAAATTATTTAAACAGGTAAAAATTCATTTGATAGTAAATGAATTGGAAATATACTGATGTAAATTACTTGAAGATTGTAAATTTTTTAGTTTCTAAGAGATTGATTGATCGTTCATTTACTTGGTCCGTTACTCCTGCTAAATTAATAAAGCTGCAATTTAGTTGGTCCAAACTTGGTTATTAAGATATTAATTAAAGATTAAATGACACTATTTCACAGAAGACACAACTTGGGAGAGTTATTGAAGAAACTCCAATGATCCATGCCCAAAGTACTGTTCAACTATCCGAATTAGATGATATGCAATTTCAAAGGAGTATGTCATTACCACGAGGCTTCGGAGGTCAAAAGCCGCAGCCAGAAATTCACAATGGACCTGTACCTCCACCTCCACGCAGCGACAGCATGAATGCCCTGAGAAGTATAATGGCACGTCGCCATCGAGTGCGGGTAAACAATAGTTTATTTATGACTTCAATAATGAATTTATGTTCATTCAGCACATCATCCTGCACTTTAGTGCATGTTTTTATTTTAATTGCTAATTTATTTATTTATATTTTATTATTAAAACCATCATGCAGTTTGAGAATCATGAAGGAAGTTCAGACAGCATGCTATCACTATATACGGAGAGTCCTACATCAAGTTCGCACGTTCCTATGAGTTCACCAAACTACTCAACAAGTCCATCATATAGTCCAAGCAATCAAAATTACATTTCACCATATTCAAGATCAATAAGTCAGCCAAACTCATCTCAATATCATGTTCACGGTAATTACTCGCAACCACGAACAGGTTCTGTGTCATCTGGAAGAACTGAGAGTTTAGCAAGTCCCATGAGTCCTACTCATACAACTTCCATGTCCGTTCCATCATCTCAGGATAAACTCTCAGGCTCTGCGGCGAGTATAAATAGCCTTGGAGAATCTCCACAGTTATCTCCCGTATTCAAAAGTGAAGCGGCCAAGCAGATCATCAAAGAAATGACTAAGAAGAAACCTGACAATCCCAGACGACGACCTGTACCCAAAGAGAAGAGGAGACATTACACAGTGTCGAGTAGCAAGCCAATGCTTGATTTGGAAGACACCTTTTCCAAGATGGTACCCTTTTATTTTGATAGCTTTTTAACTCCTAAGCCATTTCATTACTTTTTCACCTGCTGCTTTGCTATTGACTAACGTCTATTTATTTATTTATATTAGTTCAATCAGTTAGATAAAAATTATTCTATTACTAATGTAGGGAATGGGAAGAGCACGAGATGATTTGGACATGGAAAGAGCTCTCAGACCGAGAATTAATGCTCCGGATGTTGTAAGATCTACACTCAGCCACAAAGAGCTGAAGTATAATGAAAGTACCATTGATCAACTGCTGGGAACACCAAATAAAATAGTAATTCCAGAACGGTACATTCCTGAACAGACGCCTGAGTTGTCTCCTGAGGAGAAAA